GATTCTTAAAACTTTAAATTAGAAGGAGATCCAAAGGTATCAAATCATATAAAGGTTAATCACATTAGCATTGATACTTTACCACGAGGAAGGGTATACACAAAATATTAAGTACTAGTTCTCATTATTCTAAATAGACAGGAAAACTTGCTTGTTATAAGTGCGGGTTTTTCAAATCCGGGGGACAAATCCTACTATAAGTATCTATTTTTGTTGCTTTAATGGGGCAAGAAAATCCTGTTTTAAGTACCCAATCAGGATATTCTAACTAGGTGGGGATTCTTGTCATGCTAATTTGCAGGTTTCAAAGGCCTATACACATCTTGTTATGGGTGATAAATTTAATTTCAATCGTGGTGTCTTATTACATGTACCACAAATATTTTGTTAGGTGTGACGGTTAGACCCAACTTCTTAGGTAGCTTGCAAGCAGGGATGACATTGGGGAGGCTACTGAAATTCAGACAAAGGGGTCCAAGAAGATTGGTAAAAGTGAACAATAAAATGCTACTAAAATTATAAAAATAAAAACTAGGCACTCATTCGAGCTGTTTCAATTTCATGGGGAAATCCTGTTGTATTTCTTTGCGGGTTTTGAAGATCTAAGTGCACGTTGTTAAATGTGGTAGGTAAAAATGTATTTTAGTCGTGGTGTCCCACGACACAAGAAACACACACCTTATTATGTATAGTGGTAAAACTAGCATCCAGATGTAGCACCCCAAATAGGGATGATGCTGGGAGGTTACCAAAATTTCATTTGAATGTTGCTCCAAAACTCACTGAATTAATCACCATTGAATCTGTAATGCATATCTTGAAGTAGACAGAAGGCGATATCAAGGGGTTCAAAGTGAAGCATTGCACATGATCACCATTAGATCCACAACAAGCGTTTATAAGTGGACAAAATATGATGTTAAGGGGTTTGAAGTGCAGCTTTGCACATGCTTACCTCAAGATCAGCAAAATGCATCTAAAAGTTGATAAAATGTGTTATTTAGGGGTTCAAAGTGAAGCTTTGCACATGCTTTTCCCGGATCTGAACCACTTTTATAGTAGCAAACATAAGGGGTCTTAAAATGAAATATTAAATGTTTTAGCTTGCACATTCTATAAGATTATCAATTTTAAATCAAGTACAACATCTTGAAGAATGTTATGTTATTTAACATTTATCCATGAAATTATTGATGTCGATTCGAGCACACCACCTTGAAGAAAATGAAATGCCTTAAGAACCATGCAATTAGATTATATAAATAAGTTGGAAATTATGCATTATGAGTGTTAAATGCATGCTTGTGCATGGGCAATCATTCTAAGTTCCTAAAGGTATGCACCTAAGAATGTTTCAGAGTCTATATATACTTACATTCCAATCAAATTCACTTTAAAACATGTGCAATGCTATTTAAAATAATTTGAAACAATAAGTTTAAACACCTACGTGTGCTCAGACCAATTTGTTAAACCTATACACACGTGGTCTAAGAATGTTCTACGAGCAACGAGCCACATTGTCAATAGGACAAGGCTGTAAGTCCCACACTTTTTTACCAGTCTGCTCCTCATTTTTACAAGGACAAGAGTTGACAAGAATGAGCCCCCAGTTTAATCCTCCTTCTTGTCAAAATTGGATTTGACAGGACCGAGCTCTTGATATATTAGTCACATCCTCCTCCCCATGAGGACTGATATTGGCATGACTAATAATTTTGATACTATTTAAATAATTTATTCACCAATGATGTTCATATTGAATATGAATTTTATCCAGAGGGGTACACTCATAAGAGTAAAATTTTAAATTATAAAAAAATGATATTCAAATGAGAAATTTTTCACATAAAAACTAAAAGCAAAACTTATCCACCTTCTAAAAATTTTTCGTGCTTGGAAACAATCTCATCGACTATCATCATAAAAAACTTTATGTCAAAATACCTTCATTATTAAAATAAAATAAAATATAAATATTTGTTTTTATAAAATTTTTCCCTTCACTAATCATATGTTTTGAATTTTTTTTTTTTTTGAAACATGAACTCACTAATCATATGTTTTGAATTTTGAATTTTTTTTTTTTTTGCAACATGAACTTTCATTGAAATTAGCAACAATTATTTGGCAGACATTTCCTTGAATACAATGATCTTTCAAGATTTTTTTTTTAAAGTGAACATAATATTTTTTTTCTAAGAAAACCATAAAGCAACTATTGGTTAAGAATTTTTGCACTATATTTTGTGGGATAAAATTTGTTAGGCTTTAACTAAGAAAATTTTTTAGCATGTTAGTGTCATTGGAAGAAGAAACCTTTGTTCTCTGCTTTCATAGAATTTTTTCTTACTTCTAACTTTTTTTATATCATGGATGAATGATATTGTTAAAAACTACATAGCTAACACTAAACATTAAGGCAAGAGGAAATTTGTTTGAATGCAAAGGTATGGGAAATTCTTTTTATCAATTTTTATTTAAACGTATACTAATAATGTATTTTTGTAGTATGATAACCAAAAAATGTTGAGCTGTGTGATAGTGGCTAATGATGTTGAGTGCACTATTATTAATGATTGTTCAGTAATTCTTCAAAGAATGCTTTTAGTTTTTCCAAATGGTCTACTAAAATCCTGCTCTAAAAATTTTAGTTCGGTACACTTTCTTCCATTAAGATACATTACTATTTTCAATAAGACATTACATATGGGGTAAAGATTCCCCAAGTATCTAACCTACTTGAGATCTTAAATTTCTTATGCACGGTCATTTGCAATTATCATGGGAATGACTAATTTCTTTACAGATTATGAAGCAAGTGTATTTTCTTAAAATTTAAAAATTATGTGGCATGCTTTCATGTAAAACTAGCAAAAAGGAGCAAAACTTCTCAATAAGAGACTTTTCTTTGAATTAAACCAATGGATTCACTTTTTTAGATGAATGATTTGTGTCTTCCTAAGAAGTAGCAGATATTGAAAAAGATGCTAATTTTCTTTCATATTAGGAAAAATATAATAATTTAATTTATTTATATACAAAATATAGAGTCTTCAAAGTGAGGTGTGTTTTACTAGCCAATGTATAGTCTAATATAGATTATTTAAGGCTAGTCTTTTTATTCAACTAATATGGAGTGCAGGATAGGTTATTCAAACATATTTCTTCCATTCAAGTGGGGAGGTCACACAAATTTTCATTGAAAATAAAACTTGATAACGGTTGTTGAGTGAGTTATAATACCTCAAAATTTTATCAAAGTGGTTAAAAGATTATAGCGAAAATATTTTAATAAATGTAAATATTATTTTCTTAACACTACAGACATTCTTCAAGTATTCTTATGCATTTTGGATATATGAATCTTTCAACTAACCTGAATTTTGAATAAATACTTTAAAGTATATGAATCTTTTGGATAAATGTCATTGATCTATTTTAATTCTAAACACATCCATCAGTTCTTTTTATATTTCTTATCCATAACAATGTTTGAAGCCCACCAATGCATTGCATCTTATTTCTTAATTATGAATTTTACCTTTACTAAAGTCCTACCTTTCTTCTATTTAATGACAAGGCGCCACATATTGAAATTTAATCGATAACTAGTTATGATGATCTCAACTTTGGGCATCTTAAATGGTTCACAAATAATAAAAAAATTTAAGTTCATAAACAAAATTGAGGCCAACCATGAATAGAAAGTACATTATGAGCTTTCTTTAGAGAACTAGAACGTTGTGAGAAAGTAATTTTTCAATACACTATAATATTCTTTATATTAACTTACATATGGAGGTAAATGATAATATCCCACTTTTTTAATCAAAAATAAATAATAAATGGTTGATATTAATTTAAAAACTGATGAACTTTTATGCATTTATAAAATTTTTAATTTCTAACCAAATTTTACTAACTAGGTATTCAAAAACTTTTAAAATTATTTGGACTCGAGAAAAATATAACAAAAATTATTAACTCAATAATTTAAATAAATTCTCAAAGACTTGGATTGATTATTTTTCTTAGAAGTAATGGTTAAAAATATAAAGTTTATTTATTTTTAAAAAAATTTTAGGACTATAAAGATGAATTGTTTTAATTTTCAATTAATTATTCTTCTTTTCATCCTTAATGAGTAAGGCTTTCATTTTAAGAAAATTTAACAAAAAATATTTAAGAGGTTATTAAGATTATGAACATGACCCATAATTTTCACTGTCCACATGCTCAATCCTAAAACCTTGCTAGGGAATATAGTCAAGCTAATGCTTGACCAATCCAATAGATTATGGGCCCTTCAACTGGCCCACTAACCATCAATAAGGCTTATGATGAACTATTTCAAGTACTTTAACATTTCATTCATAGTTTGCTTGGTTTAATCCCAAGTAGACCATGGGGATCTAGTTTAAACTTTTTTCTTGTGAATCTTAACCATAATCTAGCTAAATGGCTTTAGTTGACTCAATAATATCCTTTAGCCACTACTACCTGCTCATGGTTGTAACTTTCTGCATAGCCCCGATAGTAGCATAAATCTATTTTAGTGGCCTCATATTATTTAAGAGTACCATTTTACTTACTAAACCTTATTTGGTATGTACATACACACACACATATAGATTATAATCGTAAATTATATTAAATGGATATACTAAATTCTTACTGAATTTTGGTATTTAATGATGTAGATTTTCTTTCTTTATCTTTCAAATATTTATTTTTAATAACAAAATTAAAAGTAGTAAAATTTTAATTTAATTCTTTAATAAACATGATTGAATGCATGATACATTAGATATTAAATCAATATAAAAAAAAAATTACTATAACCTTTTTATTACTTAACATAAATAAATATTTTTGAAATTTTGTAAAGCTTTATTTCAAATAAAATTCTTGTTATCATTTTCACATTTTTTATTTTAAAATTGAACAAAAAATCTAGTAAAATTTACCAAACTCCATATGATACAAACACACTATTATTAACAAACAATCTCCATAACACTCCCAAATCATGATTCGCTAATCCAATTACAATTTGTAGGATACACATCAAGCACCTAATACTCTCACCAAATCACACACACAAATCTTTTTCACACCTCTTTAGCTAAAGCTTCTCCCCCTGGACCAGCTACATGTGGCCCCGCCGGCCAATGCCCCGCCGTCCCTTGCCCCGCTGGCCCCTGCCCCGCCGGCCGATGCTCCGCCGTCGGATGCCCCGCCGCCCACTGCCCCGCCGCCATATCGTGAACTGCATTCAGGAGATGGTTCGACGCTTTTTCGTAGCTAACGAAACCCATGAACCAGAACTCGTGCCCATCCACCGTCACAACCTTGATATACTTTTCCGGCGGGTTCTCCCTCACCGTCACCGGATCCACATTAGCTATCTTTTGCAGAGGGATAAAGACCTTATAGAAGCTCCACGCCTCCTGCCCCGACGGCGCCTTGAAGCTAAGCGGCCGATCGCTGCAGAACGCCACGTTCGCCGTCGTTAAATACAGCGTGCCGGCTACAGGACCCGTGGTGGTCGACAGATAACAAGCGAAGGTCTTTTTAACCCGATCGGAAGGGTCGGCCGGGAAGCTTTGTCGGTAGAGTGTCTCGAAGCCACCCTCCGTCAGCGCTTTTGCCGTCAGACTCACCTTTCCCCAAGCGGCGTCCATCATCGACGGCGCCGTTCTCAGATTCTGCCATACGTTGCTTGCCAAAGTTTCGGCCTTGCGCGTCCATGAGTTGAAGGCGTCGAGAATTGTTTCCATGGGGCTTGTTCCGCTTGATGGGCGGCTATGATTACCTGACTCGAACAAAACATATGGTGGACGCTCCTCGTCGCCGCGATGGGGACCCCAATAGGCGGCCGCCTTCTGGTTCTCAGGGTGTGATGGAGGCGGTGCAGGAGTGCCCATCTGGTGTGTTCCCCATTTTGCAGGCTCCGTCTGAGCAGAGCTAGCTCCTTTTCCCTCTCCGCTGTGGGCAGTCCAGTAGGTGTTGGCCTGCTGGTTATCTGGGTATGATGGCGGCGCAGGCGCGCCCATCTGGCTCGCACCCCACTTTGGGGCATCCGTCGAAGCCGCGCTGTTTCCTTTCCCCTCCATGGATGATAAAAGGATGCAGACAAAGTGTTTGATCAAAAGCCTGAGTTGATTATTTTGAAGATTGGCAAACTGGTGCAAACACATATATAAGTGCGGCTTCGGGTTGTTTTAGTAATTTTGATCGTTTGTGCCTTGGCGAGGAGGGATGCGCATGAGACGGTGCATTTGGCGCAGCTTGTCGCGGGTTCTCGCGACGTGTCGTTAATTCTCTTGACGTGTCCTGATGAACTTATGACCCGTAGCATTCTTTTTCTTTCTGCAAGGGCTGATCAAGATTAATCTTATCTTAATTATTTATATATCATAAAACTTATAAAAGTTTACATATATACCCAACGGTTATTTTGTATTTATATACTTAGGAGCCTTTTTTATGTGTACATATTACGTGTTATTTGAGATTTCAATTTTATTTTGCCATGTTATTTTGAATATTTATTACTCTATTTTTTAGTTATCTTTTTTTAATAAACTAATTTTATCCACTTCATTAATAAATGCATTTTCTAGTTGATGCGAGCATCACAATTGCAAGAGCCATATTCTTCATGTATATTTGTATATTAGATCAAGGCAGCACGAATCTCACACAAGGATATGACACACATCAAATGAGGCGGGTACGTAGCTGAGATGTGTAGTCGACACTCAAATCTGAAGGCCGTTACAAAATACCAGAGTTGTCCGACCATATGACGAGCCGACTGACCTCAAGGTCGAACAAAAAGCATTCATAGAACTGGCCGAGTTGAAGATATCCATTGAGCAGGGAAAAGCAGGCCAAGGAACTGTGATAGAAACATTGGTAAAACCAGACAAGAAGACCACAAACCGTCATCACATGGTTCGTCCAGCTAAAAGACTAACGAATGGGAGAAAATCGAGCAAGCGAGGGGTCACCCCATCAGTAAAAATTTCATTTGTATAATGTATCATGTAAATTATTTTAGTATCCCTGAGTTCTTTTGTATAGAAAGTAGGCATAAGGGCAATTGTATATATAGGGTACCTCCCATACCTATAAATAGGGAGCCCTTTCATGAAGAGAAATGCTAGCACTATGTTCTATTGTTAATTCCCTTCCTTTACTTATCCTACGTGCTCTATTTATTAAGCGTCGGTAAAATCGTCCAAGAAACTCGAAAATAAGCTACCAAGAAGGATACCACGAGGAAGATGGTACTACAATAAGTAATGGAGATAAAAGAGCAACTAATGCTTGAAACAAAGCAAAAGATAGGCGCTTTCCAAGAAGCCTTCCTCGGCGTTCACTGATGGGGTGAACACCGGTTAAACCAGACAAGAAGACCACAAACCATCATCACATGGTTCTTCCGCCTAAGAGACAAACAAATGGGGTGAACATCGGTTAAACGAGGGGTCACGCCGTCAGTGAAAAGTCCATTTGTATAATGTATGATGTAAATCATGTTAGTACCCTTGAGTTCCTTTGTATATGAAGCGGACATAAGAGTAATTGTATATATAGGTACCTCCCATACCTATAAATATGGAGCCCTTTCATGAAGAAAAATTCATTATGCTCTATTGTTCATTCTCTTCCTTTATTTATCATACATGCTCTATTTCTTGAGCGTGATTCCTAGACATTGTTGGGTTCAACGCCCTAAAATGTGTGGTGAGCACGGGCTCACTCCTCCAATAAGAAGTGGAGCATAGCTCGACGGTAATACCGTCCAAGAAACATGAAACCAGGCTACGGAGAAGGATACCACAAGAGAGATGATACTGGAACAAGTAATGGAGATAAAAGAGCAATTAATGCTTCAACTGGAGTAAATGATGGGCACTATTCAAAAAGCCTTGGCCAAAGAAGGCCAGGACCCGCAAAGTCAAATCCCCCCTGCCTAAACTCCAAGCACAACCATATTGAGAGAATAAGCAACGACCCACGAGATGAACCGCCACCAAACGATCAACAACCCCAGATAGAGGGAGATGGGGATGACAACTCCCATTACCAATATAGCGTCAAATCAAACCCGGTAGAGAAACATAGCACCGCATGAACCGCGGCTCTCCGCCACGCAGGAAACACCATTTCTAGACAAATCTACGAAGTAGAACCACCATAAAAATTTAAGATCCTGATGTGACTTTTTATATGCTTAATTTTATATATTCTATATAGTCACAATGATATAAACACAAGTAAACATATCGCTCAAGTAATATAGGACTTTCTGATTAAGCCCCAATTATCAATCCCACGAGGAAGCGAGGAAAGATGTCCTTAGTCAAATTCCAGTTTAATACTATTAGCCCTTAGTTTAGAATATCGATTAAAATGGTATTTTATCTAGCAACTACTCCTAAATGCGAATTTTAAATATAAGAATATTAACTATTCATAAATGTAAATATTAAATTCTAAAAATAACCCTTTCTGGATGAATTGGTTTGGAGAATTTTAAGATTTTCAAAATTACTATTCTTATGTAGTGAGTTGGATAATGTAAAGGAATGAGATACATTAAATATTGTATGTGTCAAATATGAGCATTTTTAATTCTCTACCTTGATTCAGTGTTATAGAAAATCATTGGCTAATCATAGGCTTACTCCCTAAATCTGTGGCTAGGCTAGGAGGATACTGGCTCCGACTCCAAAGCTCCCACTTCCCTTCCCCTGAAGACTAACTCTCGCTTTAGTTCTTTAAACACTAAGACTGAATTGAAGATTTTAGTCTGTCACCATAAAATCTCCAATTCTACGCCCATCAAAGTATATTTCCCTATTTATTTGCATCCAACCCCCATGAACTTCACCATCCATGAAATTTGAATGTAGTTATACTTTGTTGAAAATTACACCCCTCTCGGGTTTTAATGCAATTACAACGAATTTTAACATTACAACAGGTCTTTATTGTAATGTAAATGAAATGCAAGTATGAATTGCAACTAAAAACCATCACATTTATAATTAAAACTTCTTCAAGCATGCATCCCAAAGTCCAAAACATGAGTCCTACTCATTGTAAAAGAAAAGTAAAAGGAAAATAATGACATAATTCTTTCATGCCACTATTTTCTAAGAAGAAAGAGTAAGCGAAACACATCACAAAGCACGAAGAAAACATGATGAAAAACTTCATTACATCAAAACAAATCCACTAGATAAGTGTTTACAAAATCATAAGATAATCAAGAACGCAATACTTAGGTTTTTTCCCTTGAAAGAAAGATGAAAATCTCTCCCACAACGTCTCCCGTCGATCCATGCAAAGCTAGAACATTCCCTTACATATTCTCTCAAAATTCCCTCACCAATCTCTCCAAAAAAAGGTAGAAATCTATATTTATACTTCTATTATAAGATCACTAAACATTCTCCATATTGTCTCACTCACACACACCCTCACACACACACAAACATGCATATGAGAGGTTTCAAGCCCTCTCTTTTAAAGAGATACAAATTCCCTCATTTTTTCCAAAAGACATGTATCTTCATTCAAGAGTCTTATCCAAGTGTCAAGATTCATTGAATTGTTTAATGGGGTGTTTGAATCACTTGGGAGCCTTCTAGAACATCAAAAACAGCCAAAAATCGATCCATGACCGTCCCGGGCGCCGTCAACGCCATTTTGGGTGTTGTCGGCGTCGTTTTCTCGTTGTTTTTGTACTCTTCAGCGCCACCGGCGCCGGCTCTGGCGCTGCCGGCGCCCACCCTGCGCAGCTCCACCATTTTGCTTCGTTTGGCTCCATTTTAGCTCTATTTCGCCCCGTTTCAGTTGCGTTGCATTCCTAACAGATAGACATACAAAATAATCATAAAAAAAACCTTTCTTTAATGTGTAATTTCATTTAAAAATGTGTGAGACGTGTAAAAGAGATTAAACATAGAAAGACATCGAAATGTGTCAGGACAAAATTTTCTTTTTTGCTTGTTTTTGCTCCGAATTGCTTTGTTTTTGCTTCTTTTTCTCCAAAAGTCCATTTTCTATACTTGAAACCAAAAATATACAAAATTTCTTCCTTTAAAGTGTAATATCATTGAAAATCACCAAATATAGACATTAAAAACATATGAAAAATTGCACATTTTTTAGGTGTATCAGATCCCTAACATCAACTCGTACAAAGTTATCACCGACCTAGCCGACCACGTAGTCGCCTTCGAGTCAGCCATAGGCATTCTCGAAATCATTGACGCATTCAAGTGCCACATATTTCTCACCACTCTAAGAGAATCAGCCCTTTGTTGGTTTAACACTCTTCCGACACGGATTATCCCCTCATTTAGCAAATTTAGGAGATTATCTGTGGCCCACTTCGTTAATGCACAAAAACCATTAAAAATATCTCAGTCACTCCTCCAAGTTAAGCTAAAGGAAAAGAAAACCCTCCATTCCTATATAGTAAGGTTCGTATGAATAAAATGGTGTTATTTCTTCTGCGATATGAAAGATTTGGATGGTATATGTGTAAGAAAGATTTGGGTGATATATATGTAAATGCTACATATGTAAATACTTAAGAACTGTCGGATATGTATGTAGATGCCTTTCTTTTTTTATCATAAAATTGTCATAAATTACAATATTAAGTGGCGTTGAAAGAAACAAGGGGTGGTATTTTTAATCGGGATGCCAAAGATATGGGTGGAATAAGTGTGATCTGTGAAAATTTGAAGGTTGTTACTTAGTCATTCATAAGAATTTAAGGTAGAAGATATGAAATTTGAGCACTCTCCTTTTTGGAAATTTGAAATATTGTGCCGGCTTTCGAAAGTTGGAAAGATCTCAAAAGCTTTGTTTTTTCTAAAATATGAGATGTGTTGTAACTCCGTGCTTAAAAGTTTAAAATGTTTATGGTTTTGAAGCTTTGTGAGAATGTATTTATGGGAAAGTCTGAAATTGTAGTGATTTTGATTTACAAAAGGTTTTGGAACTTAGAAACTTACCGATTTAAAAAATGACAAAATCCTCATGCCTTTTGATTTATGAAAGTTTAGGAGTTTTAGAACTTACTTTTGGGAAATTTAAAATTGATGTGGAATTTGGATTAAAATAGCTCAGACTGTTGTATCATGAAAGGTTTCATACAAGTGTACC